TAACCCGTAATAAAAAAAAATACAGAGTATTGTGTATTTATATATAGATTTTTTATTATCTAAATTGAAGCAAAATTTACGCTTTTGGGTATAACGGGTTAATTTCCACGTCACGACGGGAGCGTCACATCGGCTCGATGAAACGAAGCTCGCCGTAATTTCGGAATTGGATTATTAATTTTTAAAGTAATAACGATTCCTTATTATATATTTGGTACGTTTTCTGATTTGCTTTCGATTTTATTCCGATTATTCCTTGCCTTTCATGTCGATCGATGGACGAGACGTTCAAAAAATCGCTCACGTCGCACTGCCGGATTTTCTTTTTTCTCGCATCACCCTGTACATCTGCGCTACTACAATATCCTACGAGTCTATTAATCTTTGTTCAGTTAATTCACATATTTATTCAATTTCTTTTTTTTTTATCCATCTTTCTGTCCGCCGCAACTACTCATTAATCGGGAACGATTCGATTCGCGGAAATCGTACATTAACGTTGTAGAAAGGAGATTTCAACATTTCGTACAGGCAAAGAGTCTCATAGCTAATACGTTTTAATATTATTATTGTTATTATTAATAATAATATTATTATTTATCGTTATCGTTAATCGTTAGCACTAACTCGTTATCATTATTAATATTCTTTTTTTTACAAGATTACAGTTTATATATAACAGCCCCGCGCGTATTAAGCTGAGTTGTCGATTTTAAAGGCGCAAGTCACGTTAATGCCGCTTATCTTATTCATCTTTTCTCATACTCTACCCTCTTTTCTTTTAATCAGTCATCTCTTATTCAGTCGTTTACTTAAAATGGTCAATTTGTACGGAAATTTCCTTATTTACCGCTCTCGTTTAACTTTTACAATTTAATTTAACAAAAAAACAGTTACACAAGTTTAAAAATAATTGAAACATTTTATGTTGGAGTTCTCATCTCCAAGAAAAAGAAAGTTATATGAAGAAATATTACTTTTTTAACTCTAATAGAATCGAAGAGAATTAAAGTTTAAATACATTGAATTAAATCAAACAAGCATTAAATATGCGTTCAAGAATTAATTTCGCCATGTAATTATTTATTTAAGAACACATAGCAATATATGTATATATTTAATTTATCAAATATGACACGACATCATAAAAGCTAATTAAAACTTTTGAAATTGAAAAGTTTTACTTTTTACTTATAAAAGCTTAAAATAAACTAATAATAATAAATCATACGATTAATATCTTTTTAATCTAGCTCATCAAATGAATAATAAATTTTTCAGACTTATGACCGTCCATTATTCTCGCCTACCAAGACGTAGGCGAATCACACCATGCCTGAGTACGTTTGCTGCGTTATCTTCGGAAAACTGTCTATATCGAGTTCAAGGAGGTGGAAACTTTTCGCGCGAAGTGTGTCACGTTCCGCCTGAATTTAAAATCCACTTTTATGCGAATTTGCGATGTTCGGGAATTTGTTGATTCCCGAATCTCTTTCAGCAAGAAAGATCATCGGCAATAGTTCTTCTTTCGATTCCTCGTCGCGGAAATCGCGGGAAGAAGCCCATTAAATTGTATAACAATGTAATCGTATGCGGTTCGAATTTTATATGCCATAAAACTGAACTATGCATCACGGTGTGAAGAAAGGTTTTCAGAATCTGGCATAATATCGTATCGGTTTTATTTAACTTAGCCATAGCTTCGATTTTAATCTCCGTTATTCGTTATTGTGCATTGTAGATTCAAAACCTTATCCTTCCTTGATACAAAGTTGCACCATTCCACGTTACCAAGAAATCTCGCGTTGTTTCGTTTTTACCTATATTTTTTATCGTCAAAATTTTCTAGCTACTTCCGCGTAAAGGGAAAAAACGGTTGTTCCTACCGTCGCTCGCGGTGCGCTTATTAATTTATAGGAAAATAAATCAGCAGTCGTTAGCGACGAATTACAGTGAGCAATTTTCTGTCTTCGACGTAAATCTCATTACGATATGTGATAATACACATTTACAAGTATAATTATAGGACAAGTATCGTCGTACAGTATCGCGTACCGTGGTAAAACGTATTATTTTCTTTTTTTTTTTACTATCTAATCGTTAAATCTTGATTATACATTAAAATCACGCGTTTGCTTCGCTAACACGACTTTTTGATACCCGTAATGTTCTAGGACTCGTAATCCATATATATATCGCTGCTTCTAGATTAATTTTACACTTGCGACATAATTAACCGCAATGCCAGTATAATTAATCTCGGTCTGATACGCGTATTATTTTTTTGCGTATAACAATTGCGATTATACTCGCGGTTTTAGAGCGAACAAGCGAAGGCTTCATTAATTAGGAAGCCCTACTTTCGACTTTTGCGATAGCAATGAGATTACTCATCTTTAATGTACTGAGTGACTTGAAACAATGTGGCAATATTTTAAGAACGCATACACATCTTACTAATAATAAATATAAAAAAATTGATTACATGTAATAAGAAACAGCCTTTGTGTTGCGATCTTAAAGATAATCGTCATTTCAAAGAAAGAAGTAACTAGACAGAACGGGACATAAAGTTTAGCCACATCTCCCTATCTTGTAAAAATTGATGGCGCATCCTCCTACTCTTAATTGCAATAAATTGGCATTATTAATCACCTTTCCACCAACTTGAACTACAGCAAACGCACGTAAAAAGGAACGATGGGGCCGGACATTTTCCTTGCGATAAAAATTATCAGAGCATCGAGAATCTATTTTACATCCTCCTTTAAAAACAACACGCTTACAATTGTGTAGCTTAAATAAAAATAAATGTTTTTCTATTTAATTAATAAATATTTTTTTCATCGTATATTTGAGCAACTTAATCTAATTTGTGTTATGTTATCAAGTTAATAAAAAACTGATATTAAAGCATGTTAATTTTTATCGCATAAAGAATGACTTTTCCGGCATTAAAATGTATGTGTCGATGTCTCGAACTCTCTATGCATTTTTTTTGGCGAATTATTTCTTTAATTTCTTGTTAACTAGTGATTATAGTGATAAACTTATAGTGATTAACCGCGTTTCTCTCATCTACATAATGTAATGTACTCTCTACCTTCCTTACGAGTGTTAATACAATTCGACGTTATTCTGTTTATATCATTTATTTTTTAATCGTTCGCGCGCTAGAGATCAAAACACACCGTTTTATAGTTTTTATCGTACTTCTACGCGTAATCCTGCCCGCAACGCAACATGATCAACAACGTTCATTACTTTAATAACCTTTAATAGTACATATTTAAAAGATAACGTGATTGGTTGTCGCGTATCCAGTGCCGATAGCTGAAAAATGTACATTACTTGAGTTCGTCTCCCCGATGTCTCGTCGAGACGGCGTCCGCCTACGTGTCTATCCAACAAGAGCAACTTCCTTTCTTTATCGCCATCCCACGTTGCTTCTTCCTTTTCCTGACTAATCGTGACTAATCGACTTCGTCGCTTCCGCGATTTTCTACCACAACTCTCGAGCGGCTTGTGAATTAATAGAGAACGTGATGCGTGTTAATTTTTTGTGAACGCACTTAAAAGTAAAGTCATGTCCCTCTATTGTTTGCGGATGAAAGAAATATTTGTCGCAAAGCGACACACATTAATCTTAATATTTCACGTTGCGATGCTGATATCTGTCTGTATAGAACAATTTTTCAATTTTTGCAATCGCGCGATGCTTAATGTTTATCAGCGGAAGCGCGCTGCGGTCTTCCTCAAGATGCGGTAACAAAACAAGGAACGTTGAAATCACATTTCTTCTCTAATATAAGAGAAATAAAAATTCCACGTTTTCAACTTTTGCGTTCTTAAAGGGTTTTTCGATGTCAGAAAGAAGGTACATTGTTTCCGCGATAATGATCCGCGTAATGGAATTCTTATGGGAAAGAGAAAGATTGATGCACGTCAGACAAAAAGGTACATGAGTTTCTATTTACCGTGTACTCTAGAAAGTGTGTGTCTGCGTAAGTCTGTGTTCTACCTACGTGTAAGGCGAGAGATAATGATCTGCTTTCCCAGTGCACATTCAACAATATATTTGCCTTGTTTTTTTCAATTTAAAATAGCAATTTGTTAAACAAGTCGACAGTTGTGTTTCTTTCTTGAAACGTTCAACTAAATACAAGGTTTAAATATAACAAAATATTATTAATTAATTTATTTAATATTTTGGTGGAATTTCTGATTCAAGATATAAACCACTTATGAGCGTTAAATGTGCGATGAAGATGCAGATCGATGATACAAACAATTCGCACGCGTTGCGGACATCAGAGAAAGAAAGTGCGTTGCGCTCGAAACACTAGATCAGTTCAAGCGGAAATTATCGAACAACCACACAATCATCCTTCACATTTTTCTCCCGCGCCCGCTTTGTGCATCCTTCCACAGTGTCCTTCGGATTTTTCTCTCTCTTCTTTCTCCTGTCTCCCCCGAGAGAGTATTTATGTTATATGACCGCCGCTTTTAAATCGTAGTACAAATCCCCCGTTTATTAAGTCGTCGTCGATTTTTACATACTAATGATACGAATAAGAAAATTCACTGGCATTATTTGAATCACCTTGGCAGTTCATCATGTGTATTCTGAGAGTGTATGCGTGTGCGTTTTACCTCTAAAGCCCATTCCTTTTTCTCCTTCGTCTCGTTTACCTTTTTTTTTATTTTTTTTCTCGCTTTCTTTTCTGCTTTTTTTCATCCATTATTTCTACACAACTCGAAATAAGTGGTGATCATCGCTCGTATTTTTAATTGCTTCTCTTCGCATCTAGTTTTAGACGAGAACCAATGTCAACTTGCATATAGTAATCCCCGAATTTTATTATTTGTGTGTGCTATTTATTATATATTTTTGCGAATTTCGAAATCAAAGTATTTGAAAACTTTGACTTTATATCAATTTTTAAACATACTACCATTTATAATATTTCTTATTTATTTTATATAATCATGTATATCATTTAGGATTTATACTTTTTTCAAAGTTTTTCGAGAGACTCTCGAATCTTTACATTGATTCGTAATAATATTACGAAATTCATTTAGACTGTTACAAGGATCTTAACTGATTAATCCTAACTGATTCTTGTGTACATTCGGAGATTTCTACATCGTATTAACCTTGGGCTGCATCCGAGTATTTTTAACACATTGGCAAATCACGCTTCCATACGTATCGTCGCTCGTATGATGTTACGTGCATATGTGTATATATGTGTATGTGTGATACATCCCTAAGTAGTAGTCGCGGAGGACAGACTCGTCTCGATTCAACCGATTACGTTTTTACCTCGATGAAAACGTAATTGAATTCTGTACAGAACTATATAATCGTTTAATCTCTCGCTCGAGAAAATGTACCATTTCAGCTATACAAGGCGTTCGGGCACCTTGTTCGACTGCTCTCAGGGATGCGTGTAACAAACCAATGTACATGTCTTCGCGTACGTGTGTCTCGTTTTCCCGCGTGTCCCAGTGTACGTGTCTCTTTGCTCTTGCGCGCGCGCGCGAGCTCGCGCTGTCTTGAAAACGGTGTGTCAACGTGTTTCGCTAAGGCGTCCTCGTGGGATAATTATACGATAAAGTTTTTTACCGTTATTATTACGTAATTATTATTAATACTATTATCGTTATTCTCATTATCGATAGCGTTATTATTTTCATTTTTACTGGTATTAGTATATATATCATAAAGAAACGAAGTTACTCCCCGTATTGCTTTCTTCCTAACGCGCAGGTCTCCGAAACGAAGCGGCATGCGAACCCGAAGGCGAGCACCCTCGTGGCCGACCCGGCGGAATCCGGTTAACGGGAAGGGCGGGTGCTTCGCTGGCGCGAAGATGCCCGTCGGCGAGATCCTCGTCAGCCCCGGAACCACCGGCGGCAGACTGGCTTTTCTGAATCACGTGACGATAATGTGCGGCGCCGATAGCAGGACGGTGATGGTAGCGATGATGGTGAACAGAGTAAAAATGATTAGGCACATCCTATCGATCACCATCGCCGCGAACTTCCAATCGTTCGTGATCTTCGTGTTCTCATCCTCGGCCTTTAGCTGATTCGTTATTATCTGAAACGAGACATTGCTTTTTCGTCGAGAATGCAACGATCCGCTCGCATTCATCTTTTTACAATTCTGTTTCCAACTTTAGATATTTGATACGTCCAACTGCTCAGAGTTTTGAAAGATTTTGGGTTTGAATCTATAAAATTATTTTGATATCTTAAATTATAACAATCTTTAAAATTTAGAGAGATTCAGTTAGGTTCTTATAACTTGCTGAAAGTTTGAAGCTTTGCAGTCTATTCACTTTGCGACTATACAATTTTAGAGTCTTTAGACCACAAAATAAAATTAATTAAATAATCTCAAAATATATTTAAAAGAAATAACTCCTGAAGATGTTTCAGGTCACTCGTCAAATCGTTGGATCGAACCTTAATTTCCTTCAGGATTAGCACAAGCTCGTAACGAGCGCAGAAGCACGCGTTCTGGAGTATCGTTTCGACCTGCGGCCCTGACGCGTCTTGGGGATGTGGGTGATGGTGCGGCGTATGCGAGATCTGGTGGCCGGGGTACGATGAATGCGGCAGCGGCGTCGCGTGCTGATGGTGCGGCGTCGTAGGTGCGTGGCTGTGATGATGATGGGGCGTCGTGTGTATGTGACTGTGACCGTGACCCATCGCGTGCGCGTGATGCGGCCCGGGCGTGCTATACACGTTGTTCAGCAGATTATTGTGAGACGCCAACGCGTTGTCGTCCAGGTCCAGGACGTTTGCCAACAGGGACTTACTACTTCTCTGATGAAGCTCCAAATCGCCATATGACTTGCTCGCACCTGGCATATCCAAAGAAAAATTGTTAGTCGTTAATATAGAGCCGAATTATATAATTATAGTAATTATGTAATTATTAATACAGTGGAGGGAGAGGAGAGGGGGGGATTAATTATTAAAAAGAAAATGCATTTAAGTACACTTTTGATGAGAAGACAGTCATAAAAAAAATTAAATTATATTCACAAATGATATTGTGATCGGCATAAATTGTCTAAATTTAATTAATTAACATGCTTCTATTTAAAAAGGAATTTTTTTTCTACTTTTACGATGATCTTACCCGTTACCGGAGATGGCTTTTGAGATTTTTGTACTTCCTTTTCTTCTTCTTGTCCTGGCCTCGACATACGAAGTAGACAGGGCAGCCAGTACAGGAAAACTACCCTAATCTGTAATTTAATGCATTTTAATTAATGAAATAATTCAATATGCATAATTATTTATTGGCGTTACTATAATAATGTGATCAAATTTCCAAAATCGCAAAAATGCCGACTTTCAAGAGGGAAGCTACATTTACTAATTCAAGTTAACTTGCGCGCGTAAGTTAACTTCCGCTTGCGGAAATCTAATCGCGCAAGTAATCAATCTCCAAAATTTACATCCTAATTAAAATGACGTCTGACGAGAAATTCGATAATGCAACGTGATTTAGTACCGCAGCGCCCATTCGGCAGAATGGCCCTTAATTATTCGCCTATAAAATTCCCGATTTATCCGGAATGTAAAGAGAGCGATGTATCGGTCCCAGCGATGGCGTTGTATTTTAATTAAAACCATAATTATCTGCCGATATCTGTTGAAGTCGTACAGCACCGGCAATGAATTAAATTGAATTTTAATAAAATATTGTTTTTGTCGTGTCTCTTGCGCGAATAAAAGTAACATTAATAAATTGTTTGGCTAGTACATTTTATAAACATAAATCCAGAAAATACATAATATTAATTAATTCTAAAAATAATTAAAAAATGTACTCGGATAAATCAAATTTAGCCAAACAAGGTCAGAGACCTTTAATAAAATTGTGTGTAAGTTATTGTGTTAGCTATCGATTTTGCATTGACAAGTTATATTAACATGAATTTAACCGATTTATCTTATAACAATAAAGTATTGTAATTTAGTTATTCGCCTCGTCTCATTATTTTTATTCAGTTATTATCATCAATTTTGCTATTGATAATTTATACGATTCTCGATGAATTGTATTTTTAAATTTAGAATATCTTATAAATAAATTATGTATATATATATATATATATGTGTGTGTGTGTGTGTGTGTGTGTGTGTGTGTGTGTGTGTGTGTGTATGTGTGTGTGCTTTTTATAAATTATATTTTTTATATTTCTTGTACATAATAATAAAAAACTATAAGTTAACTTGTTATTAACTAGCTTGCAATGCTTTGCTTCTTATATTTTCACATTGTAATGCTAGCCAACTAAGTAAATACTGGCTGCAGTGTTGTTAGTGTCCGCTTTGATATCAATCAAAGTAAATTACCCATTCAGACATTTCGTGGGAGTCAGAATTCCGATGATGATAGTTTAAGATGAGAATTGTGCTGACCACGCTGCTGGCTACCATAAACATGATGCAATTGAAATACGTTCCTGAAAAGTATGAGAGTACATAGTATAAGAACATGATTTGAAAATGAGCCAAATTACCAAGCAGGCGATAATTCTAATATTAAATATTGCCCGATTAGTGTAAAATTCAAAGCTTGTTAGTTATTTTGACATGATGTATCTCTTTAAGTATTAAGTAAACTAGTTGAATTCACGCGTTTCTCTTTATATATATCAAATAAATATAATTATATTCTCTCTCAATGATTTATTGCGATAATAATATCCGAATATTATAGATAATAATATCACATTTATATTAATTTTCAATTAGTCTTAATTATTTTATAATTATAAATTATAAAACGGTATATATTACATAACATGATGATATGATAATTAGAAAAACATATTAATTCCAATAATAAGTCAATGAAATTTAATTGCATGTCTTGCCTCAGGTGTTTCACAATCGGGGAGCACATCCCAGAAGAGTGCAAAGATAAACCCTTCGTTCCTTCTTTCCCTATATTTTTCCACTCGAACGATTTTCACGATATAGGTGATCAGTCACGCTCTGCTTTCTCATATTGAAAAATTAATCATATTGAAAATCAATTAAATCGAGCTTACCTAAAAGCGGTACAGCGTCAGATGTCGCCGGCATTGTCTCGGCAACCATATTCAGGAACACAGTGAGGGACAAGAGGATGGTTACTCCTATAAAAGAGGTTCGTTGGCTTCGATTAATTATCGAGTGCTTCGAAGAGGTGGCCAAGCGAGATTAACTCTCGGCCCTTGAACGCTCGAAGAGCCTTCAATGCGTAACAACACCATGTTGAAGGTGCTTCGAGTTTCATCTCAAAGTGTCTCCGACCTCGTCGCCACGAACGCAGTAACAGACAGTCGCAAAAATACTCCTCACATTTCTAGTTTGTAATTTCTTGAGAAAATAATCATTAAAAATTTTGGTATAAAAGTAATGTAAATTAAAAATAAATAGTATAACACTTTTTTTTTATTTTATTAAGCATCTTAAATAAAAGCCTTTGAAAATGACGTGCTCATGCAGAATCTAAAGTATCTTAATCCGTCACTGTGCTCGGGCTTTGAACTCATTCGCGAACTACGACGTCGCGTTAAGGAGGCGCTTTCAAATTATTTAGACTTTCAAAACGTCGCGGCAGGTGCCTCATCTAAATATCAGATGTTACTCGAGTTTTCTCGAAGCTCGTGATATAACGCGTTGAAAAGTGCTCTCAAATCCCTTAGAGACGCGGAGATCAATTGCGGTTAAAGAATATTGTTTTTTCCTGCTTGTTTCATTATTTTCTCAGAATGGAACGTTTTCATTTCTTCTATTATATCCGAGAATTTGCATTACACTGAGGTCACTAAGACAATTTGGCTAATAAAATGATATATATTTATTTTTAATTAATTTCTAAATCAATAATTAATTCTGAAAAAAGATTATTATTGGAAAAATTTCATATCGTTCTATTTATAAATGTTAAGATGATCGCTATAGGGCGACATTGTTGTGGAGAGACGTTATTATCATATCTCGATCTATGAATAGCTACGAGCTTCGAAGGAATTCGCAACGGAGACGATTGCAATTGCTCGACATTGTCATTCCATTGTCGCCGTATCTCCGCGTCGGCGACGGTGATTGTCGCGATCGCTTCCGAATTCGATGGAGATTCACAGTAACGGGCTTCCACGCTCGAAGAAACTCGACATCCTGAATAGAAGGCTCGCCGAAGTTCGCGCGCCGGGACGTCGTTTCAATCGGGATCGAGGGGAAATCTAATCGCGTAAACGCTCGATGCGCTTAGCAAACTCCAGTGCATGACTCTAATCACGGGAGCGTTTACACGGTAGTGCGAGGTGAGGGGAGGTAAGGAATCGGAATTATGCAGCTGAGTGGATTCAAGCTGTAGGAGGCAAAATTTCTACCGAGCATCCGGCTTCTCGGTGAATTCCAGGACTACCACACTTACAAGATAACAATGAAATAAATTGTGTCATGGATGCGCTAACGTAATCATTTTCTATCCGCGCTTCTACATCCATAATGACATTACAACTACGCGTGCAAGAGAAAGTCTAGAATCACTTTATTGCATGTTTAAGCATGTCGGCAATAAAGCTATTATTTATACTTTTTCTGTTGGGAAATTCTCTATCAAATTAATCGCCACCAATCGATTATTTGCCATTATAGATTTTTCATTTTGATTTAATTCGATAAACTTCTTAGTTATTTTTAGAGAAAATAGAAAATTGTTGAAAAATTTAATAAAAAGTGCTGGTGAAAATCATACAAATATAAACATAAATTTAAATTAATTATATAAAAATTAATTTTTATATTTAACAAGAAACGGAATTAAAAAAATTTTTCATATTCGAGGAAATTTGTCCTAAGAGAGTTAATGTTACAAACGTGCTGTATAAGAGATATAAATTTGCATATATAAATAAAATTAATGTTACAGAAGTGAATCCCAACTTGTTCATCTCAATTTGATACAGAACTCGTACAATCGATATTCGATCGTTCTTTATTGAATTGCGCGGTGATGCGAAATCGTATTCGCGTAAAGTTTGGACTCGAGTTTTCGTATAGTACATACGGAATTTTACCGGTTCTAATTTCCACGTCGAAACTCGATAAAGTCCCCGCGGTATTTGATTGCGGAAGAAACTCACGACGACGCGGAGAATAGTTTCTTCCCGGCGCGGCATTCGGATGCGGGGGAATCCGCCGGAAGTAGGTCGAACCTAATCGCGTAAATGTCAGATGTTCTTAACAAACAGGGACGTGCCTAATCGCGAGAGCTCGAATTTACGAACTGTCGGGAAGGGAATAGTGCGAGTTTTGCATCGAGTTGAAACTTGCCGAGGGAGAGCTTCTCGCCGGAATCGGGCGGCAGGGTGAACCCGAGGACGGCCATGCTGGCAATTAAAACGCACGGCACGATCAGGTTGAAAAAGTAGTAGAGTGTGCGTCTTCTGATGATGACGACAAAAGTGATGTCTATGTACGGTTCCGGGCAGCAATTGTAGTAGATTTCGTTCCTCTTACCAGGTACCCCTAAGCGAGACAGAGAAATGGACATTAATATTATATCAATATATTATTTTTTTTATGTTAACGTAACTTTTAATTGTGAAAACAAATAGCCAGAGTTATGAGAAAAAAAAATGTAATAATCTTTCCATATTTTTCTAGATAGAAATATATAAAAATCATGCATATTACAGAGCTTATATATTGTTAAATATTGAAACAGAAGCTCGCTATTTCGCAATTTCGAAATTGAGAAGTGGATATCACTTTAAGATCGAAAAGCTAATGGATAGCAATATCCAACGAACATTTCAAGCGAATAATTTTTTTATCGCTTCGTGAATGGCTCTCAATAGCGAATACACTTGAAATTTTTATTCAAATTAAAATTCTCAAACGGATATTCAATTTAGCGCTTACACTTATGACATCGCGCACACGTGTAGAAATAATCGATACTGTCAATAAAACGAAATGCGCTGTCGAGCGTAACAAAAGATTGCCGGAAGCGAAAAATTCCTCTACTCCCTTGAATTATCTCGTGTAACAGGGCAGAGAAAAACGGATTCTATCTTACGCTATTCCTCCGGGTACAAAACGGTGCGCTCTGCTGCAGCCGTAGTTACTTAAGATACATTTCTACCGCGAGTCTCATAACTTGGGCACATACATTACACGTGTACACCGACCTACGCTATTCCCACGCGTAATGCATCGTACAATTTTTCGAGAGATACACGAGATATGGGAAGCAAATGTTCTTGCTCTTGCATTAGAGTAACGATAAAGATCCTACGTATCGGTGCATCTCTCGAAATCATCCATAACGAATTTATCAAGTGACATATGGATCGAACAATACATCATAATTATGATGTTCTCTTCTCGAAAAATAAACCAAATGTTTCTATTTTTGTGCTACATTTCCAATATAAAGTTGTACTACATGCATTTCATACAAACACGAGTTTATTTTTAAACATACATTTTGATAATCTACATATGTAATTAAACAATAGAAAATAATTATAATTTTTATTTATTATAAATATTATTAATCGAAAGTTGTCAATAACCAAAATTAAATTTTATATCTTTTTATTAAATCGTACTAAAATATATAGTCTAGTAAATTTTGAAATTTGACAGGGATCAAATGTCCATTGAAAGCGGATTCCGAAAAAATAAAATTTATTGTCTAGATTGTATGATTGTAATCGACAGCATGTAAATGTTAATTTAAGCACAAGTTGATTTTTGATATATGCGAAAACTAATTTTTGAATTATTGACATTAGAATAAAATTAATACAAAGGAATATTTTATTTACGGATTGAAAAAAAAAATTCGCGTAAATTGTATATATGCATATCTACCTATGTTAAAATAAATATTCATGATGGAAAATACGAAATAAATATTTGCGAATGGAAAACTATAACTTAAACTTTAATTTTCAATAAATTGTCAGGTAATTATTCAAGGATTGTGACAAACTAATATTCGCTTTTCAAATGAGACGCTTCGTTGTAATTCCGACACTTTACCGATCGCCCGTGTGTATTCACCAACGAAAACACTAAACTTGGGGCGCGCGCGAAGGGAATCGCGCCGTGTCTCTTCTCCTCCTCCCCGTTTGACCCAGATACAGGCAATTTTGACAGGGACAAAGCGAGGATCAATACCGTTTCCGATTTGCGAAACGATTGATCATCCGCCCGTGGCCGTGCAAGACTTTAGAATTGCTAATCGGCCGGGAATCACTTTCGGTGCAAACTATCCGGGCGTGGCGACAGTCCCCTTCGATAAGGACTGTAAAAACTAACTCACCCAACAGATCCCACTCGCCGTTAGTGATGAAACTACTGATGTCACCCCCGTTCTCGTCCTGCAGCTGCAGATCCAACTGTCGACAATTTATGACGGTCGATTAGAGAAAACTTATTGCAATCGCACTGCATATAAGACAATTGTTTTGCCTCAAAAGCGACGGAAAAATCTGATGAATGATTCAGATACGGCAATTTATTCTTTAAAAGAAACGTCATAAAATTTATTAAAACGGATAAGAATTGGGTGTTTGGATGTTTACAGAGTTTAAAATTAATTTGTCATTAATATTAACCGTATCACTTCTGAGATATTTTTTAATTAAATTATATCTTATTTCTAAAACTATTTGAAAATATTCTTATTTATTTGCACCAAGTACATATATGTAATCAATTGAAAAAATTTGCTTCATTAAATGAAAGAAAGAGAAAGATTCAGAATGAAAAAAAATATATATAATATATAATGTATCTAAATAATATTGTTATTTGTGATAAAATTGCCCTGTCAGGATTTTCATTTCATATAGTCAACTTTGTACAGTTTTGTTGATGTAACTCATATGAATTTATGCATATTTACGTTGGCCAATATGAAGCTCTAGCAATCTTTCGCAATTTCTGCGCGTTTGAATATTGAAGCGAAATTTTTTTTCTCGTTGACGTTTGGGCGCAATTTACGGTGAATTAATATCTGGGTGCGAATTGTTAAGTGAGAATGGACGATTAAATCGAAAAGTCTGTTTTGCATTTCGTTCGTATTCAATTGATCGAACCGAGCTCGGGAAAATCATGGCGAATTTCGCTGTCTCTCTTGCTTTTGCGTCGCGCTTCAATTACGTTCTGCTTATTGTCTTTCTTAATGAACCCCCGAGCGTTCTCGAATTGCCCAGCACCGTGTAATTCGCATCTTGAATTTTAATTATTCCGAAGTTGCATGCTCAACAATTAAACTCGCCGCGTGCATTAGTCGTATGGTAGAAACACATGTTACCACGAGAAATGGTGTTAAACTTTTGTCATTATAATAGCAATATTATAATTATCATAATCAGATAATATCATCATATTATTCAGCTGTACAGCAATCATTTTTTAAGAAATTAAATATATATTTTTAAGTATAAAGAGAGAGAGAGAGAGAGAAAGAGAGAGAAGGAGAGATTCTTCATCATCAATTTCGTATCTCTTTTATAAAAAATATTAACATATAAATCGAAAAATATTATCCTTTTATAAAATGTAATTTTATAAATTATTAATGTTTAATTATTTATTATTAATTATCTAATTATTTATATTTCCTTTATCAATTTGTTTTAATTTAACATTTTTTACACACGAATTATGGTTTAAAAATTATTATATAAATTCTTTCATTTTTTACAAAATTCTTTGAAATAATATATTATAATTATTTTCATGATATTTATTTAAAATTTAAAAACATTAAAAATATGTTTTCTTTATATATATTGAACTGTAAGAATAAATTAGCGATAATAAAAGGTGGAAATTTTGGATATTGTTCTCACATTCATTGTCCTCTAAACATATCTTCCACAATTCTCAAATTTCCTGCAATTTACCCCGAAATGGCGTTTGCTGCCCACGCTGTTAGTGATGTTTCGACGAAATGCCAAATGCATTTTACGCCCGTTGCGGTATTCCTAGAATGCGTAGGAATAGCCATATTTCTTGAACATTTTCCAGAAATGCTCCAGAATATGCGTGTATATTGATGTTCTCACGAAAAATTCCGATAAAAAGAAATTAACAAGATATAAAAATGAAAAAATTTACATCTGATATAAAGAAATTTACATTCCGATAAAAAAAATAACAAGATATAAAAATGAAAAAATTTACATCATACTGATATTTTTTGTCGCGTGGCTGAGATAATAATTAAAAAAAGCAAGATAATTTTTTTTTCTAAAACAAAAATGTCAAAATATAAATTAACTTCATCTCGTTCAATTACATTGTAGAAAGAAATTATTTATTACGCTCTCTTTTTCTCTGTCTCTTTCTTTATATATTTATCATTCCGTATAGAAGATCGCACATCATATTTTTGATCGAAATAAATAATCATTCGATATACTTGAGAGAAACGGGAGCAAGAACGCTTTCAAGAACGCTAACTCAACTTGTCGGGGATGGCGGAAAATGCACAGCCGTTGCGCGATCGGAGTACTTTACTTCCGTTCCGTTCTTAGGAATTTCATGGAATGTTCTCACGAACAAATCTTGCATTGGCAAACAGTGAAGATTCTCTCTTCTCCTTCTCTTTCCCTCTCCCGCCTGTTCTCGAGTGCTAATCAAACTCTTCGACGCCGTCGCTTTAAATTATTTCCGCGTCTCGCGTATCGACGAGAAGTGCCGACGTGCTTCCGACAGATTGGAAAATTCGTAAGTTCGACGTCAATGTCGGGCGAACATATCAGGGAACGACGATTGGCTGACCCAATTCCGGTAATGCCTATCCCCTATGCTCACCTGAAAGCCGTCGTACGTCCAGGAGCCGAATTTCATCTCGCAGCGCTGATCATCAAAGGGAAACCAGGTAATGTCTATCTTGCAAGTGCTCTTGAATATACCGGGCGGCACGTACAAGCAGGTCCCATTGTCCTTTACGACGACGTTCGTCGGATAAGTGCCGTCAAAGCCCTCGTCGGCGCTATAAGAAACAACGATTCACGTTAATCTTTCATTGATCAAATGTAGCAGATTTTTAATCGCTTGATTCGATTTCGGTAAAGAAAACTAATTAAATCAATTTGTAGATTTTCAAGAATTTTAGACATTTGTTTCATTTAAGAAAATAAAGTTGCATGTATTTAATTATTGCTATATATGTTCAATAAAAATTGGACCATATAATTTTCTTACATTGAAAAATATAAGGCATAAAAATGGACCATGAAAAAAATATATTTTTTATTACATTTATTATATTGTGATGAAAATTGTCTCTTTCTTATTTTATATTTTTTTATTGCCTTTATTATTTATTATGAAGAGAGAGAAATCCTCCTTATTATTAATGTAAACTCGTTACATTACAACGGCGCTAGTTACAGTAATTCTTTGTTTAATTTTATTATATCAAACGCGCGCATTTTTTGTGATTAAGATAATTCCTGAACACGTGTGAAACATTTGTTTTTCTTTACTCAAGAGACTAAACAATATTGCAGAACATGTGAACGTAAAACCTAATATCAGCACTGATGTCCCCGTCGGTTTATCCCTTCTCTGCAATAATTTAGGGATAATTCAATTGTCCTTAATGCTACTCCGTTACGAAGGGAAGCAACGACTACCTCTACTCTTTTATAATTAATATACGATGCAATTAATTCAATCTTGTATGTTAATGTCTATTCGCAAAATTACTTACTGATGTGAAAAATAATGACATATTTCTAATTCTACATGACCAATTCTAGTTTATTAAACTCACAAAAAGCATAATTTTTTTGCAATTTTTGTAATAAATAAATTAATAAACAATTATTGTAGATAAATAATGCAATATAACAATAATCTCAATTATAAATATAACTTTGCAAGTTACAATAAATTCAAATAGATTTTTTCTATTCAAATTTTCTATATAAAGACAAATTTATAACATTTTATTATGTATGTTATATTTTTATATATATTGACATATCAATTTAGATTCATTAAATGTTGTGCTATCGATGACCAATTGCTCTGAAATTTCGCTATACATGTTCAGAAAATATGTTGATAATAAATAGTCGTTGTAAAAACGAGCCGCCATCGTAACTATAGAGTGGCATTTAAGTGTGCAATATATCCTGACATCTTGTGCAGAGAGAGTAAAATAAATTACTGCGAAAGCAAACATTACTTTTGCGGAATATTCTTCAAAATTTAGATTGTGGAGGAGAATTTTTATAGAAAATTCAGTTTCTCGTACAAAAGCTTAAGAATGAGTTTTCATGTCGCACAATTGCAAGATTGAAAATGCAAATATAATTTTGAATAAATTGTGGTATTAGGCAACATTTTAAATATTTACAGACTGATGCAACATTTATACTTTTTACTGATGTAACATTTTCTTCACAAAAATAGTGAGATTAATTAAACATGTTATTTATAATCCTATAATATACACAAAAACTATCAGCGTTTATATATAATCAATAAATTTAACTATAATTATGAAAATATATGACTAGTCAAATAAAATTTCTAGTTTATTCGTGTAGATTACCGTTAACGACAATTAATATTTAATTAAAATTCAAAAAGTGGGAAGAATGTATCACGGAAATCTCCTTCTCAAAGGAAAGTATATCTTCTCCTTTGATTTCATTATACATTTAAGATGTCTTAAGATGTCTACTAGAAACAAATTCTCGTCCCTTCTCTACTTGGATTTACCGCAACTTACGACGACGTACGGTTAAACTTCCAGACGGCGTCACGTTAAAGCAGACTCGAATAGACTAGCAGGAGCTAATTATGGACGAATCTACCCCAGGCCTTTGACGTCCTACCTCGCTTGTCCTACACCCCTTTCGATTCTGTTCCATTTGCGTTAACTAACAGGACAACCGCCAAGTTTTCCTATATAGTCGGACGTCAATTGACGCAATTATTTTTGCAGTTTCCACCAGAGAGAATTGATTTTTTTATGTGTTTTTTTTATATGTTTGCGCTATAGAAAAAATACTCAACAGTTTTCATTACTAGAGCAAATCGCATAAAATACGTAAAGTAAGATAGTTTAATTAAATTTCTTTTCATCATATGCCACTTTGTTCTTGTCTTGATTACCCCGTTAATTTAGAATTATACAGAAATTTTTAATTTCCTAACGATCTCTCATGATGACTGGCTTTCTTTTCACTTAATAATGTGCACAGAATTGGAAAAAGAGTGTAAATAAGAAAGATAATTGTCTATTCGAGCGAATATTTAAATTAATGTAATAATTAATAAAGAAACTCTCAATTAATGCACCTTGATTTATTTACTTTTAATTGAAGCCTATTAACGAATACGAGAGATTATTTTTGCATTTGGAATCGTCGATCAAAACATTTACTTTAGATAATTCAAATAAACCAGTTTAAAGTAATAATTAAAATATGTAAATACAAATGAGTAATGTTAAAATGCAAATTAATTTTAATATATTGACTTTATTATATGCTTGATCTATGCATTAAAAATAAATCATTTTGTAGAGTATCGGCCTCGGAAGAAAAATTCTATTATACTATTAAAAATTCTATTATACTATAGACTTAGTTTCTTAATAATACGCGCCGTATATTAGGTTTTCTTTATTTAATCAGGCGTATACGAGCTCACTTGGCGAGAAAATATTAGTAGGAAAAGGTCGGCGCACTCAAACCGCATTACATTGTACAAAATAGAGTATTCTACCTTGAGTGCGTGCCTTGTATGATAACAAGAACGGTCTAAGAGAAGTTCGCTTGCGGAATTCTTGGGGCTACATCTTTGTAGCATCACCGCATTTTGTTGCATTATTTTTATGTAATCTTAAAATGAACTGCAACTTATTCCAGGAAATAATAAGAACAAAAAAATATTTCGCCATTCAGTTAATAAAATCGTCTTGGTCGGAAATTCTTCGTAAGTTTATTGTTTATTTCGTGCGACAGCGCGAATATTATGAGAACAACACACCGTGAGATTTTAATTTAAGATTCTTTTACACTAGATTACATTTTCACTTAATTATCATTTTTTATCTGGAAAAATAACAAATGTAATTCCGTGCGATATTTAATTTAAAAGTATTGTTAAATCCTAGATTTGTTTAATATCTACCGAAAGTTTTAAGGACATATATAAAACTCATTTTCTTTAGTATAAAAAAATTTATAATTATGATACGGAATAATTATTACATATATCCTATAATTTAAGAATAAAATGACAACGCTGTTTTCTAAAATATTACAGAAAAGATTTTTGTCAGCGCTTTGACTATATTCTCTGACAATTCCGGATGTGCTCCACTTAATAATGAGAAGAGGTAACCTCAGGTTCTCCCTCTCGAATACTTAATGAAATCGTCACGAGATTTCCATGAATCGAGGTGGATCGTTCATTCTCGAGGCATTACTATCCCATCCTTATCTCTCCCGCGAGAATAGTACATCAATGAGTAATACGACTTTCAACAAGAAAGCATATTTATTTATGATCATGAACATTTCCATTTTTTTGTAAATACTTTTATAATATTTATTTGCAAATTGTTGATAACTTATTTTCTTATTTCTTATTATTATAATCATTGCCAATTAATTCCTAAATTTTTAAAGCTTGCGGTTTAATATTAATTATTTGATAATTTTGCCTCTTGCGAATGGATACTTATTTAATTAACATTTATGCAGCAATAATAATATGTATGTATTATATGTATGTATTATATGTTATTCTGTTGTCATAAAAGTTTCAAATTTTTTTTAAGTTTCATTCATAAAATTGATTTATGATTTAAATTAATTAAATAATAATGATGACATCGCAAAAAATCAATTAATTAATAACAGATACATTTATGTTTTACATAAATATTATACATAGATTCTGTACGTAAATACTTTTGTCTTGTAATTAAAAATGTGATTAATATATTTATGCAATTGTACACAATAATACTATAAATTATAATAAAAGATTATAAATATAAAAACTGTTTTATATCTAATTATAGAAATGTATATAAAATTTATAGGAATGTATATTATTATATACAATGTACATTTTTTGAAATTATATGATACAACTTTTCCCAATAAAATTAACTATCAAATTTCCTTCATTTACATCGAGTTCACTCGATACTCCCACGTGCATCGTATTACTTATCGTAAAGATGAACCCGTTATCACAATAGCAACGTTTCGAATACCGTTCTGGAATTCTTAATGAAATGGTCTCGAAGTTTCTACAAATCGATTCACCCACTCTCTCAAGTGTATATATATATATATATATATATATATATATATATATATATAAAACATCATTCTTCATTCTTTCCGTTTCTTAATCGCTCCTTTGGGAGCTACCGTCTGAGGAGAAAGCATAATCGTGAATGAAAATCGCTCAGACGTGCGATTATGAATATATGTACTCGAGAATGCGGCAATAAAGTATTGAATCAGTGCAAAAGTTATACTAACTGTTGAATGGCGTTAAAGTCCATAGAACATTTTTGTATTTTTAATATTTGAAAGTTCGAATATCTCGAGATGCAAAAATATATAACTTCAAGAATATTATTTGCGAATTGTAAAAGTTGCAAGAGAAGTCTATATATATGGATCATTGAAAAGAAGTTTCATCCTGAATTTTATCTCTAGTCATGATTCTTGACGAAAATCACAAAAGCAAATATATGCTTAAGAGATACTCGATTCTAGCATTGAAGTTACAAAATATGCTATCGAAACTTTTTCGTTCGCGTAATTGTATTTCTAGTTGGAGCGAACATAATTTCTCGAGCTGCAAACGCTCGACGTAAAACGTCACGAGACTCTCGTTCGGATCGATTCACGCTCATTCTACACGCCTTATTCCTTTCTCGCCCTTAGTTGCTCGCAATCTCGCAGAGAAATATGATTTTGAATGGGATGCAACGGGGCAATTCTA